AGGAATAGAATAAACAAGCATGATGCACTAGGAGAAGTTCAGTGTTGGAAAGGTAGGGTGGGGCCAGACTACAAATGGTCCTATTCAACTGTATAAGGACCTTGGACTTCATCCCATAGAAACAAAAAATAAATGGACCAGTTTTATGCAGAGTGGTGCTATATTTACATTTCTTAATTTAAAATAGCATTTTGATTAAAGACTGAGATTTCTAAAAGCTTCTTAGGTGATTTCTGATCCCCATCTAGGTTTAGGAACCTCTGGACTGGCATACTGCTTTCTAAACTTCATCTGTGAAAGACAAATATTAATTCATTTAACATTTTCTAAAGGATCTATTGGGTACAATTTAACAGAAAGTATATATAAAACAAGGGATGAACAGGCAGGATTCTTCCCCTCTTAGAAATTGCCTCCTGGAGAGAAAAGAATAGCTCAGGACATGGTAATACTAGATCAAGCAATTTGTTATAGTTTCTGATGGTAGGTAAAGTTTAATCTCAGAAGAGAAACAAAGGAAGGACGGTACATTTGAGAAGTGGTCATGCTAGGAGTGGTAAGTGCTTGCTTGTAATCCCAGATACTCAGGAGGCTAAGCCATGATGACTGCAAATTCAAGGCTAGCCTCAGCAACTTAATGAGACTCTGTCTCAAAATAAAAAAATAAAAAGGACTAGGGGATGTGCCTTAGTGGTAAAGCACCCCTGGGTTCAATCCCAGTACTGAAAAAAGTAGGGGGGGAGTTACATAAATTAGTTTTCTTAAGCATGCCTTCATAAATTGGGATTGTTATGTTTTATATGAGTGCTTGTTTATTTGCAAATAGATGCTTCTCCCAAAGTCAAACTTAACATGTGATTATACACTCAGACATTCAAGAGCACATACACACATACACACACACACACACACACACACACACTCACACACACATACAAGCACAATATAAATCTCTCTCTCTCTCTCTCTCTCTCTCTCTCTCTCTCACACACACACACATACACTCCTCACACTCACATTTAAGGCAGCCAAAATTGATTTCTTCTGTAAGTTATAGAAGCACCACTTTAAGAAACTAAAAGTTTTCTAAAGATGACTTTACTACACACTTTCTAAACAACTAATGCCATTTTGGGGGTACGCTTTTTAGAACAGACTACTACTCTATCAAAATGTCAAGACACATATAACTATATTACAAATTTTAGGCTATGATGAACAGTCAGGTAGTCATAATTGTTGCCAGTGGTAAAAATTTAAAATCATTTTTCATGCTCAAAGATGTAATAATTTCTCCATTTAAGAATGAGCAGCTAATTTGTAGTTATCTCACCACATTTAGAAAAATCCGTGTCCTAGAAAACTAAGAAAAAATTCTAACATTAATCAGTCATGCCTATTTTATGTTAGAAGAGAAACATAAGTGAAGGTCTGTGATTAACTTGGAACCTTCAAAATTAAGGCATAAGGGCTGTATCTTAAAGATTGGGTATGAAACATGCCAAAAGAGCATTTGAAATAAACACGTGTCATAGCACAAGGAGTCGTCACTTTTAAGTCAATTAATATGCTGATGATGAGTAATCAACACAGCAGAACAGGAGATCTCAGGCTTCATTCCCCCTTAAAGAAAGTGCACCTAATTAACTATCCACAAACAAAACCATCTTTATGAAAATTCCAAAACTCGAGGAGTCTGACACATTCATGTTGACCACAGAACAGAAGGTGCACTCTCTCTCTCTCTCTCTCTCTCTCTCTCTCTCTCTCTCTCTCTCTCACACACACACACACACACACACACACACACTGTTAGACCAGGACGCAAGAAAAGACCACTGACTCCAATTAAATCAAATTAAAGCAAGCTTATTATTTCGACCGGCCGGGCTGCCTCTCCCACCCCAAACCGCGGGAACAAGACAGCACCCTTGCTTTCCTGCAGCCCAGCTTTATAGCCCAGAAAGTTACACAAAGGGGGGTTACAGATAACAAAGCTCTGACGAGCATAACACAAAGGCTAGTTTACATTTTTGCTGGCCCGACATCAGAATTTATGAAGGTCCTTAGAGCCTCAGAGAGGGTCATTATCTGGCCAGGGAAGGCCAAGATTTATGAGGCGTCACTAAAGTTTCAGAGAGGGCTGCTATCTGGTCCAAGAGCCAGGCATGGGTAAGTTCAAGGCACGGGCAGGCATTCCAAGCAGGTTCAGAATTTGCAGTAATTTATAGAAAAGCCAAAATTATCTTTTCCTGGCTTTGTGGTGAAATGGCTCCCAAATTTAAGAGAAAATCAGGCTGGGTCTATCAGCATACACACACACACACACACACACACACCACACACACAAAGGGTCTGTCTTTGACCATGTAGCTCACTGCATACATGAAAAGACATTTAACATCAGTAACCTTCAGGAAAATGCAAATTAAAACCACAATGATATGTCATCTCATACCTGTTAGATGGCTGTCATCAAGAAGACAAAAGATAAGCAGTATTGGGGGAAACAGAAAAGGGAACCCTTCAGTGCTATTGGTGGGAAAGTAAATTAGGATTGCCATTATGGAAAACTATATGAGTTTCCTCAAACAATTTAAAAAATCAGACTATTGTATGATCTAACAATTCCATGACTGAATATATATATCTAAAGGAAATGAAATCAGTATGTCAGAGAGACATCTCCCTCTACACTCACAGTAGCACTATTCACAATGGGCAAGAAAGGGGAACAACCTACACGTCCCTCCAGCAGTGAAGAAAATACATGTAATGGAAAACTGCTGAGTCAGTAAAGAGAATGAAATCCTGCTATTTGTGATAGATGGATAAACCTGGAAGGCATCATGCTAAGTGAAATAAGTCAAGCACAGATAGACAAACAGCCCGTGATCTCACTTATATGTGGAATCTAAACAGTTAAACTTACACAAGCAGAGAGTAGACATATCTATATTGACAGCACACTAAAGGCTCTGGTTTCCAGAGTCTGGGGGCTGGGAGAAGGAGGAAATATTGGTCAAAAGCTACAAAGTGTCAGGTAGAAAGGAGGAATTACTGTTTTTGAGATATACTGAACAGTATGGTGACTATAGTTAATGAATTAAAACTGCCAAGAGATTAAATTTCAACATCCTTACCACAAAAAATAATAGTTTGCTAATTATTCCAAGGGTTTGTTTTTTTTTTTTTTTTTTTTTTCAGTGCCAGGAATTGAACCCAGGGCCTCGTGCTTTCTAGACATGCACTCTACCACTGAAATGTGTCCACAGCTCCCAAAGAATGTTATTTAAAGATGCTACAGAGTACAACATAACTTTATGTTTATTTGCAAAGATAGTAAATGTAAGCAATCTGATGTCCAAATGCAGTTCATTTAATTTGATTGTATCTACATGTCTCAATATTTTTTTTGGGGGGTGCGCAGTACCGGAGATTGAACTCAGGGGCACTCAACCACTGAGCCACATCCCCAGCCCTGTTTTGTATTATATTTAGAGACAGGGTCTCGTTGAGTTGCTTAGAGCCTCACTTTTGCTGAGGATGGATTTGAACTCACAATCCTCTGCCTCAGCCTCCAGAGCCGCTGGGATTACAGGTGTACACCACTGCACCCAGCTCTCAATAATTTTTTTTTTTATATTTTATTAGTTGTTGGTGGACCTTTATTTATTTTTATGTGGTGCTGAGAATCAAACCCAGTTCCTCACACATGCTAGGCAAGTGCTCTACCACTAAGCCATAATCCCAGCCCTCTCAATTTTTTAAATACACATTTTTTGTATTATTTGTTAAGGACCAGTAACAAACACATGGATATTGCCTAGGTGATAAAGCTTGCAAAGGTTATAATTAATTACAGGAATATTCAGATTAATTAATGAATTTAGCATTTGCATGGAAAAAAGCTGATACCTTTCAAGGATTAATTTTTTATTTTTCATGTTTTATTTTATTTTTTATGCCTTTATAGTATTTATTTATTTATATGTAGTGCTGAGGATCGAACCCAGCTCCTCGCACGTGCTAGGTGAGTGCTCAACTGCTGAGCCACAACCCCAGTGCTCAATGATTAATTTTGTTACAATAAAATTGAATTCAATAACCATTTGGGTCACTAATAATACTAGTAATGATGATTATGACAATCATAGCTAAAATTATGGAATGCCTATTATAGTAAACAACACCATGCTAAATGCTTCACAGGCATGATCAGACTCACTTTGATCTGCAACCCTATGAGAAAAGTACAGCTACCTGTCCAATTTTGCAAAGGAGAAAACTAAAGTTAAACATTTCAAAATCAAACACCTACCAAACAGGACATGATCCAGTCTGTCTGACTCCACACATAAACTAGCATACTCTACTGCCTCTTAAGAGCCAGCAATATGCTAGTGCTACAGAAGACACTGAGGTGACATTGCTTGTCCCCTCAAAGAACTCTGAAGTTGGTAGAATAGAAGAGATTCTGGTATCATTATTTCTGACTCAAAGGAGGATGCTGTCATTGCCAAAAGCTATTCCCTTCTTTCCCCATAACTTTTCTCTTTAAGCAAAAATAAGTAGTTAAAAAAAATAGATGAAGTTTCACACAGTATTCTTGCCTCATAACTATAGGAAAATTTAACCAAGTAAGATTTGAGCCAGATTTTCAAGAATGAAAGGGAAACCAGCAGAAAAACATGAAGGGTGAATTGACCAAAAGAGTAAATAACTAGAAATAAGACATGAAAATGAGAGTAGAGAAGAAACTCAGAAGTTCCCTAATTCATCCAATATATACCTATCTTCTGAGCATATCAGGCATGTTCTAAGGATGAGAAAGAGTTATAAGCAAAATCTCCCCAAGATCTGACCTTGCAGAACATATAAATTCTTACCATAGGAGACACACACAGAAAATTACATGAACAAGGGAACATCCATCAACCAAATTAACATGAAGATAACTGAAAGTACTGATAGACAGAGATGGAGGGGACTATACTTACATTACGTGAGTATGGAAAGCCTCTCTGAAGACACTGATCTAAACAAGGTAAAAAGGTTTTTTCTCTTGCACCCAGCGAGCCATGGCTTTCCGTGGTTGTACCTGGGAAGGATGGAGCACACACTAGATGAGATGCATCCTTGTCTCTGGGCATCCTCTACGCCAGGTGAGTGTGATGTCAGGGGTGCTGATGTCAGAGGTACTGATGGTGGAGTGCACGCACCACCTTTAAGGCACTTCCTCGTTCTGACCCTGGAAGCCAAGTGCCAGAGTTCATTGACACCACACACCCAAAGCTGGAGGGGAGGTTTCCTCTCTCCAGGGGAATCGCACTCCCCACTCGAGTCTCTCTTTCTGCTGGCTTCTCCTTTTCAACTTGCTCTTGTCATAATGCCCTTGTCCCAACCTTCAGCCCCACCCCTCTTTGGATTGGCTAGTGACCTGGGCTTCCCAGGTCCTTCTCTCTGCTGTAGTTGAAGGACATAGTTAGGCTCTGAGCAGCCACACTTGACCCATCCCATAGGCTGACTTGATGGGGAGGGTTTCTCACCTGGCCTGTCTCAGCCTTGCTGGAAACTCTGAGGATAATGGTAACAGTTTAGCTATTTGATTACTGAGCACCTGTTTGCCAAACTATTCAACAGCCCATGACAGTGGTATTACTATTTCATTTTTACAGCAAAGGAAATCAGGCCAAGATAGTTGAGGAATCTGTTCAAAGATCATAGAAATTGTTAATTAACAGAACTTGGCTTCAGATAAATGAGTCTGAATCCAACCTTGTGCTCACTGGGCAACTTGAAAATAATTTGTATTTGGGAAGAATCAAAGTACATAACCAAGGTTAACAATCCACTAGATGCTAGTTCTCTCACAGATTCAGCCCATAGCCCAAGGAGTTTCTAGTTGCTTTTTTTTTTAATCCATTTCAAATACAAAATTCACAATCAAATCAAATGGATGCGTGCACATGCGCGTGCATATATACACACACATACACATCTACTGGCATAGACTAAATATTTGTGGTCCCACAAAAAAAAATCAAATGTTGAAAATCCCTAATATGACAGTATTAGGAGGTAGAGGCTTTGGTAAGTGATTAGGTCACAAGGGCAGATCTTTAGGAATGGCATTGTGCCCTTATAAAGGAGACCCAGAGAGCTCCCTTTTCCCTTCCACCATGTGAGGACACAGTGAAAAATCAATATCTATGAACCACAAAATGGGCACTTATCAGACACTGAATCTGCCTGCACCTTGTGACTTTCTCAAGAACTATAAGAAATAAACTTCCGTTTCTATTCAGTCTATGCTATTGTGTTATAGCAGCCAGTAAGGAGACATGGAGACACACACACACACACACACACACACACACACACACCTACCTTTATTGTTTATGGGTCACCTACAATTGTCATGCTTTAAGAAAAATGACTTTTGCCAGGTGCAATGGTGCACACCTGTAATCCCAGCAACTTGGGAGGCTGAGGCAGGAGGATTGCGAGTTCAAAGCCAGCCTCAGCAAAAGTGAGGCACTAAGCAACTCAGTGAGACCTTGTCTCTAAATAAAATACAAAATAGGGCTGGGGATGTGGCTCAGTGGTCCAATGCCCCTGGGTTCAATCCCCAGTACCCCCTGCCCCAAATAAAGTGACTTCTTTCAGAATTTAAGAGAAACCTTGTATTTTCTCCTTTGGTTTGGCACTGGCCTTTAAAGATTATCATTTCCTTACAGTATTCTCTATAAATACCCTATTTGACAGATTAGTAGTCTAAATGAGTTACGAAGTCAATTCAATCATCATAGAAAAGGTTAAGAAAAAAGGTTAAAAACTTCCAGAACACACAGCATTTTAAAAATATCTGTTTCCCTCTTCAAACTATTTTTAAAAGAGTTTCATAGACCTGGTTCTCGTAATTACAGAGTGATATGTTTCACCCACGCACTGTGTATTCATCTGGGTCGTTTCAGTGCACCTTATAAGTATGCAAAATTTTATCAGATGCTAAATGCCTCAAGCATGAGGTTCTTTGGGTTCTTATTCTTAATTATTGTGCTGAATTTCATATTTGGGTCTGGATTTCAAATGAATAAATTATTCTCCAAATACATAATTGAAGAATATTAATATTCAGTCTTACTTTGATAGAGACTAGAATTTAAGCCAAAATCAAGTAGAAATGCCACTAAAAATCCGAAAAGCTTGCAGTCAGTCAATATGCAAGTTACACCACCATGGACAGGTACCTGGAATTGATCCACCCAAAGCCAAGCACTGTGCTGTTTGCTATTGTGACCCCAGTGCTCCAAGCAACTGCAATGACTCTGATTTCACTTTTCTCTTGACCCTTAGCCTTGGGGAACTGATAGATCAAAAAATAGGCTATAAGAAAATCATATCCCTTAGTTATTTCCCACTGAAGCCATGTACTTTTTAAAGAGAAGTATCCAGCCTCTCTGCCTCATCCAAGTCTGCTCATGACTTCAGCCTTTTCTACAACCTGGTCTATGCTCATTTTCATTTTTATTTTATCTATTTATTTTTCTTTATGTTATGATTATGATGTTTATGTTATGGTTATGATCTTTTAAGAACAGGGAACTTTTTAAAAACCCCATAGTATCTAATCAAAAAATTTTGCTCCAAATGAATGCTGAAGTAGTAGGCAAGTGATCTATTTTCTAGACAAGCAAAGTCCATTTAATTTGGGCACAGAATAAGTGAGTCATGAAATATTAAGTCCATTTAAACTCTCACTGAAAAGGATGTCACCTATCAGCTCAATAAGCAATATTGGAGACAAAGTTTGGTTTCTTTTTTTTTAAACAATTGATCAATTCAATTTCAATCCACCATATTAACACACTAAGATAAGCCCTATAATTATCTGAATAGATGCAGAAAAGGTCTATGGCAAAATGCAAACATCACTCATTTTTATTTTCAGCTTTATTGATGTAAATTGACACATTAATATTATATCAATTCAAGGCATACGATATGATTTCTGGATATGCATATTGCCAGAGTTTGGATGTTGACTATATCCCAAAGGTCTCTGTGTTAAAAGCTTGGTCTTCGGGTGCTATTGGGCAGTGGTGGAACCTTTAAAAGGTAAAGCCTATGGGAGGCTGAGACAGGAGGATCGCCAAGGTCAAATCTGGCCTTAGCAACTAAGCAAAGCTCTAGGCAACTTAGGGAGACCCTGTCTCAAAATATCACATATTCTTCATCCACTCATCCTTTTTGTTATTATGTTTTTATTAGTTCATTAGAATTATACATAACAGTGGGGTTCATTCTGACATATTCATACATGCACATAATTTTAATTTCTTTTTCAAGTTTTTTTTTTTTAGTTGTAGATGGACACAATACCTTTATTTTTATGTGGTGCTGAGGATTGAACCCAGTGCCTTACACATTAGAGGCAAGTGCTCCACCACTGAGCTATAGCCCCAGCCCCAATTTTCTTCATTTCATTCCCCAGTCTTTCCATCTTCCTTTCTTCCTGCCTCCTCCTGACCCACTTCCTTTCCTGTACTGGTCTCCCTTCCATTTACTTATTCACTTACTTATTTATAATCACAAATACATATATTTCTACTTATATAACTTCAAGTACATGAAGCAAAAACTGACAAAAGGGAGAAATATACAATTTGTTTATCACAGCTGGAATTTTAACACTGCTCACACAACAATGGATTTAGCAATTGTCCAAAAAACAGTAAACACATAAGGGTTTCAAAAATTCCATCACATTATTTGGCCACAGAGATGATTACAGAGCACTACATTCAATGGCTTCAGAGTACACATTTTTTTCAAGTACACATGAAATGTTCACCAAGATGAACTATACACTGAGCCATAAAACAAGTCTCAAAACAGTAAAAATAAGAAATGCATTCGGCTGTTATGTATAACTAATGAGAACAAATAATTTAAAAATTGTAATAAAAAATTAAATTTAAAAAAACAGTAAAAATATTTGAAGCCTTACAGAGCATGCTCTTGGAACATAATTATATCAAACATTTGTACTTTTATTTATTTTTGATTGGTGCATTGTAAAATTGTACATAAAAGTGGGATTCACTGTGATATATTCAGACATATATAGAACATGATTTGCTCCACTTTAGTCCCCAATACTTCCCTGTGCCCTCCCCTCCTCCCTCCCCCTCAATCTCCTTTCTCTACTGTTTCTGTTTTTTTTTCTCTGGCTCCAACATTTGAGAGAAAACATCTGACCCTTGACTTTTCTCTACTTTTCTCCTCAAAAACACTTGCTGTCTTTTAACTCTTTCATATTAGCCATCCTAGGAGGTGTGGGGGGGTATCTCATTGTGGTTTTGATTGGCATTTCCCTGGTGATTAGTGAGGTTGAGCACCTATTCCTGTACCTAATCACAATTAGTCTGTCTTTCTCTGTAAAAATATGATCAAGCCCCTTGCCCTATGTGTTTCCTATTCATTTCCTAACTGCATCTTTTCAGGTTCCTCAAATTATTGATAGAAGTACCAAGGATCTCAGCAATCAAATAGAAACTGCAATTCGAATTGCTTATTTCTGCTTTTACTGTCTGTGCATTTTTTTAAATTTTTTTTTTTTAGTTATACATGACAGTAGAATGTATTTTGACATAACATGCATACATGGAGTATAACTTCCCATTTTTCTGGTTGTACATGATGTGGAGTTACACTGGTGGTATATTCATATATGAACATAGGAAAGTTAGGTCTGATTCATTTCACTGTCTTTCCCATTCCCACCCCTGCTCTGACCCCCAATTCCTCCCTGTCCAATACAGTCAACCTCCACTGATCTCTCCCCTTCTGACTATTATGAGTCAGCATCTGCATATCAGAGAGAACATTTGGCCTTTGGTTTTTGGGGATTGGCTTATTTTGCTTAGCATGATATTTCTCCCGTTCCATCCATTTACCAGCAAATGACATAATTTCATTCTTCTTTATGAAGTAATATTCCTTTGTGTATATGTACCACATTTTCTTTATCCATTCATGTGTGGGCACCTAGGTTCATTTCATATCTTAGCTATTGGGAATTGAGCTGCTATAAATATTAATAACCTTAATAACATACTAAGTGACTGCATCACTATAGTATGCTGATTTTAAGTCCTTTGGGTATATGCAGAGGAGTGGGATAACTGGGGCAAATGGTGGTTCCATTCCTAGTTTTCTGAGGAATCTCCATATTGCTTTCCAGAGTGTTTGTACCAATTTGCAGTCCCACTAGCAATGCATAAGTGAATGTTTTTCCCCCACATCCTTGCCAACATTTATTATCTACTTGTATTCTTGGTAATGGCCATTCCAACTGGAGTGAGATGGAATCTCAGTATAGTTTTAATTTTAATTTCTCTTAATTGCTAGTTGTGTTGAACATTTTTTGTTATACTTGTTGACCATTCTCATTTCTTCTTCTGTATAGTGTCTGTTCAGTTCCTTTGCCCATTTACTGACTGGGTTGTGTTTTGTTGTTGTTATTGTTATTGCTGTTTTTATTTATTTATTTGGTGT